ATCGGTTTGGCCACGCGTCACTCAAGTGCGAATAGGTTGGCGTACATTTTATATACTTTGTGGGCCATGAGGGATAAAAATCCCGCTACCTTGCTTGCCTGAGGGTTGTGTCTAGTGGTGGATGGGTGTGCTATCACCTGGGTGAAGGGATCTTCGCGACACATACCGAGTGACCCGTTGTCCGGTCTTCGGCTTTGTTCGTAGAATGCAGCTCTGGCATCAGCGATGACAGAGTAACGATTAAATTTCGGGGGTTTCACCTCCACATCACATCTGCAAACATACACTATGTACGACAATCAAAGGCCGGTGCTCAGATGCCCCAGTTCAGGGTCGCTCAGATTGTCGGTAACGGTATGTCGAACGGAGCGTCAGGGTACTGTTCGACTGTGTTGGTCACGTAGCATTTTGAAAGATTGTTTACTTTTAGCCTGGACTACTGTCGTTGGTATTGAGTTCCAAGGGCGACATATACGTACCGAGAAACAGTGTTCCCGGGCTTTCAGTCTCGAACGCTGCATCTCCAGTTTCTTGGAATGGCCGCGCAATGCTGATGGAGGGGGCATCGTGAACAGATGCCTGTTAGGGTGCCCCTGAACGTTAAGTTTGTCCCTCAGGAGGATCAGATCGCTCCTTACCCTCCTATACTACATGCTATACAATTTGAGCGAACGGAGTCTGTCCGGGTAGGGGTTGCGTGACAAGCCCTGTACTCGTTTCGTGGTTTACCGTTGTGCACACTCAATGGCGTTGACATCCCTCCCAAGCAGCGGTGGGCACACCTGGATGTTGATCTCCAGGTGTGGCCGAAAGAGAGTAGCAAAAATCTTGGGGAAAGACTCCGGTGTGAATTTCTCCAGAAGTCGGCTTAGTTGGTTGAGTTTGCCCTCCGGGCCAGTGTGTTGCAGTTAGTTTGCAGGGACAGATCATCGGTAATGATTGTACCCAAGTCTCTTTCTTGCTTGACCCTTTGCAATGTTCCACCTCCGAACGAGTAGCCGTTTATACGATGCCCTGCAATGTGCATAACCTTGCATTTGTCAGAGTTGAACGGCAACCCATTTGCGACCATCCAGGTAAAAAGCCTGTCTAGGTCCTTTTGTAGGGTGCACTTATCTAACGGGCTTTGAATCTCCCGGCAGATGTTAATGTCTTCTGCATACATCAGTAGGTCTGATTGTATGCCGACGGGGAGATCGTTCACAAATAATGCGAACAGTCTGGGGCCTAAGATAGAGCGCTGGGGTACCCCAATGTATGCTTCAAACCTATCTGAGAGAACGTCATTCACTGGAACCCGAAAGGTTTGATTGCACAGATAGTCGGAGACCCTAGCTATTATGGTTTCCCGGAATTTCAGGTTGGTTAGCTTCTCTACTAGTAGAGAGTGACGAACTCTATTGGAGGTCTTGGAAAAATCTAGCATGACTACGTACAGTTGCACCTCTCTGTCCGCAGCATATGTATACCACTCCGTGGTCTCAATAGGGTTAGTTCGGCAGGATCGCTTCCCACGAAACCCGTGCTGGGCATCGTTCAAGCAACGATCTCGCCCGACAAACGGATTGATTTTGTCTTCAATGAGTCTCTCTATTACCTTTGAGACCGCGGCGTATTTCATGTTAAATGTTTGAAAATCCTTCCAAACCCATGATTATTTATGGTGACATAAATCTATCTGTGTGTTGCTTCTTTATTGACATTTCTCAATCACAAACACCATACATCATTATTTATCTGTTAATTCGATGCCCGGCACATTTGAATTTTGATCAGAGAACGTGAGCGACTGTTTGGCTCTCTCTGGACATATTATTTGGCTCGCTTGTTTGAGTGCTTTTGTCCGCATATTTGAGGTTTGTTTTATTGTACATTTTGTAATGATTTCGCTAATTCAGTACCGTAGAACATTACGGATCAATCGCGTTTTATTTCGGTATTCGTATCGGTTTGGCCACGCGTCACTCAAGTGCGAATTGGTTGACGTACCCACGAAAAGCAGCGCTACTGGACGGTAGTTGTTTCGTAAGGTTCGGTGCCCTGACTTGAATATAGGAGAGAATGTACTGATCGACATGTGAAAATTCTTCTTGTAAAGCCCAGCCATTCCACCTTGGTTCCACCTTTCGTAAATTTCACGTTCCATTCACCTAACACCATCCGCCTCATCCGTACGTAGACATTTGACGTTCCACCTCCTTTGTACATTTGAACATCTATCCCAATACCTGACTTTGTTTGTTTTACTGCTTCATTCATACCCTACTTGTTTTAATCGCAACGTGACTGCTCATCTTTGACTCGTTCGAGTGCAGCGTGACAGTGAGCGTGCTGTTCTTATCCAGACATATTTTCTTCCGCTCAGATTCATCTAATTACGCTCACAGTAACACTTGGTTCTTGGTTTCAAGTTGTTTCGAGATCGCTTTGAGGTTTGTACAGATTTTATTTGCTTATTTGATCGTTTATATATGCAGTACCACAAAACCTTGATGGATTGTTCATTTTATTGACGTTTTGGGATTCGATTTTGGCTACACGTTGCTAGTTGATCTATTCAGTAAGCACAGTACTCAAATCCGTGCAACTTGTAGCAAGAGAATGTCGTTCAAACAAGAAAGGATCGGGGAGGAAGGACAGGAAGGAACCCGGAAAGTCACTGGGGAATTTATAATTCAGTTAGGCCCGTTGGTGCTAGAAGTTCATGTGCCCTAAATTGTGATGCCGATGTTAAGATTTCTGATATATACCTCGTGAGATTGTAGAGTCAGAGCAGGAGATTAGGTCAACGAAACCTAGGGAAGCAGAGGCTGAGCAACCTTGCTCAACTAAGCATGCCGCGACCGAAGAACAACCGTGCCTATTGGACTGACGCTAGAAGTGGCTCAACCGCCGATCGAAGTAATGTACCGCCAACAGTCGATAGACCTGCCCAAGGTGGAGCTAACATCATTCGACGGGAACCTCAGAAACTATTGGATATTCATTGGGAGTTTGATTATTTCTTCGAGTGTCGAGTCGTCGATCCAGGGCAGAAGTTCCTGTACCTAAAGCCTTATTGCCGCGGGAAGGCCCGGGACGCAACTGAAGAATGTGTAATGCTACGAAGCTAACAGGGGTATAGCCGAGCAAGGGACATTCTCAAGGAGCTGTTTGGTCAACCGTTCCACGTGGCACTGAAGCTCATATTCGTGGTGCTGGCCGAGACCCATAAAAAAAGAAACGAACCCGAATCGTTGGTGCAACTGGTAATGAAGATGCAAAACTGTTTGATTGCTCTGACTCAAATAGGTTACGAAGNATGCATTGCACACCCTTGAAGCGATAGTACGATGCCTTCCGGATGACATGCAATAGCAATCGGTGGAGGAGGCAGTGATATCGGTCGTTTAAGGAGGGAAACGAATTTCATCGAACTAACGGAATTCATCCGTAACTGTGCCAAGGTCGCCAGTAGTCGCTTTGGACAACTTGCTAGCATGAGCAGGCGATAAGAGAAACATCACGCCAGGGAACGAACTTACAATATCCCGAGGAGCTCTAGGAATGCAAACAACGATGCAACGTTGGGGTAACGTTGCACACTTATATGCCCTGTGTGTTTTTCGAGTCACCAGCTACCTGCATGTTAGAAATTTGTGCCACTGGATGTTCCTGATCGTTGGGAAGCAGCCACTGGGCATGGCACGTGGTGTATCTGTATGAGCGGCTCANCATTGCGCGGCTACTTGTAAGAACCGAAGCCACCATACCCTGTTGCATTCTATCCGAGAAACATAGCTACCGGCACACCCGAAACCAAGCGTACGTCTATTACCGTAATCAACGGGCATGCAGGTGAGTCACTGGGTAACACAGGTCGGCATGCTAACTCCTAATGGGGTAGTAGAGGAGATGGCATTTATAGACAATGGAGCCGATACCAGTTTTATCATTAAGCGTTTCGCTGTGAAGAACCATATCGCAACCAGACCATTTTCCCTGACGATCAGCACGATAAAAGGTACAAAGGCTACTTCTGACGATTAAACGAGCTTGACATTGGTGTAGCTAGATAGTGGGGAACGTGTTGAGGTGATGGAGGCTTTCATCATCGCCGACTTGCTAATACGAGCAGTGGAATCGATCGNGATCGGGTAACTAGCAACGCGCTGGCCAGATCTGAGAGATTTACATTTCGAAGGAACTGACTCTCCTGAAGTCGATTTACTGATAGGATGTGATATGCCATAAGCACATTGGGTGCTAGACCAGAGAATGGGTAGCAGTAAAGAACCCCACGCCTCTCGCATCGTTTTCGGGTGGACATTATTTAGGCCGCCTCATTAGGCCAACCGCAAACCATTGTTAATTAACTTCACCACCACCGCTAACGACGATACGATCAAAAAAATCCTACAGCGGATGTCCGACAATGAGTTCAACGACTTGAGCGACCAGAAAGGGGCTCCTCTGTAGAAGATAACCAGGCATTGACTATAATGGAAATGAGGACACGATGCCAGCCCAACGGGTTCGACGTGCCGTTGCCATGGAGGACGGGATATGTCCGATTGCCGAACAACCACGGGATCACCCTAAAATGGTTAGAGTACCTTAAAAGGCGACTGGTCCGAGACACAGAGCTCTTTCGACAAAAAGCCGCAGTGATGCGACGGAACGTTCAACTGGGATGCATAGAACGACTGGACGTTTCACAACCACGCGGGGAGCGACTATGCTACTTCCCATACCACCCGGTAACCAACCCTAGGAAGCCAGGAAAGATACGCGTGGTATTTGATTGTGCGGCGCGATATGACGGCCTTTCCCTTAATGACTGTCTGTTGCAGGGACTAGATTGGACCACTCTTCTGATTGAAGAACTCAACCGATTACGGCTGGGGGCAGTTGCAGTAGCAACCGACATACGGGACATGTTCCTCCAAGTTAAGATATCAGAGGATCAACCAGGCGCCCTGCAACTACTATGGTGGCTTGAAGGCGACGTACAGTGCCCGGTAGTAGAATATCGCCTGACCGTTTATTCATTCGGAGCGGTTTCTTCGCCTGTCTGCGCAAACTACGCACTCCGACGGATGGCCTCACAGCATGAAAAAAACTTCCCAGCTTCGGTGCCAGCTAGTGCTGGGAAATATTCTACATCGGCGACTTCGTGAGCGCATTTGATGACGTAAAAGAAGCCTCGCAACACGTAGCGCAATTGAAAAGCCTACTGACAAAATGGGGGGGGGGGTTCCGCCTAACCAAATGGTCGTCCAATTTGCGCTCAGATCTAGAC